CATTCCGTTACTCCCCAACACTGCTGACACACAAAGTGTTGCAAACATTACCCACCCGAGGATAAATGTACAGCATGTAAGTATTTGGTAAATAAGTGCAGAAGGCTAGAACTGCTTAGGCTAGAATTGCCTCTATTTGCTTAATCCAGTCAAAAGTGGAGAATTTTTTAACTCAATTATAGCTTTATTTCCTTTTATTTATGGTAGTTTACATGAGATTTGCTGAAACACTAAACCTTTTATCAAAATGGAAACCCCACAATTACATCTTATTAAGCGCAGATGTCTTTACATGCTACACTGCCCTCATTCACAGTACAGGTACAGGAGGTCATGCTTGCAGGGCCATTGCTAATTTTACCTGGGCTTTCCCTACTGTGAAAAGTCAAATCTCAAATGTGAAAAAGGTCAATGGTTATGGGAATAACGTCATTTAAAAACTCAACCTGATGTAAAAATAACACGAATAATAAAATGGGGGAGAATCCGACGAGTGTGCATGTCTAAAAGCTTTCAGCGTATCTTTAAAGTAGGCTACATATTGACATACTTCATCCAGTAAATGGAAACTTGGACCTCCAGGAGATGATACTGGAGTGAAAGGACGACACTAATGACTCTGATCATTTCAGTCAAAAGACGACGGTCAACAATATGCTGCAGAAAATGTCATCAAGCGTTGCTTTACAAATGCAGCACTGTTTAAAGGAAATATTAGAGCAGTGGCAGGAATCGTGCCAGCCGATTGGCCAAACGTACATTGACTCATTTAAGGCGGTCAGCATCGTGTTAACGCCTTTAAAGGACCTTTAAAGCTGTTCTTTTCAGATAAATAAGGACATTCCAACATTTCTATTTCAGTGTTTTTATACTCTGTATGCATGTGGTCCATGTTGTTGCCTTCTAGGATAAAAGTGCAGGTACAACTGGTTTCATAAGCAGATAATGCACTTTGTACAGTCTTCACGTGGCTGATGTGTTACCACGTTTGATCCAGGTTCTGAAAGTAATACATTGTGAGGACGATCACATTTTGCACCGGTGTGCTTTGATTTTACTCAAGCCCACTTGGTACCAAAGAGTCTTTCTTACTTTTCCGAGGGGAGTCGGAGAAGCTGAAGGAAGCTCAGAGTTTAGAGTCAGGCGGATGGCAGCGTGCATTCTTTCAATAAGAGTGTAATGAATGCAAAAGTGTTTTTTTGATATTACTCCGCTTCTCAGCCGCTAAAGGGATTAGGAGCCTGATGAAGGCTGGGGTGTTGGTGATAAGAGTCAAAAACAAGAAGAAGTGAGTCATACGCTCTGATCCTTTCACCACCGTCCTCACCAGCAGATTTTTAGCATCCTCCTCTGCGTGACACAGACATCCCCCTCGGAGGCATAAGGAGCTTAGATGATGCAGCATTTTTTTTCCTCCCTCCTACAAGAAAAACTTGAAGGAGACTTGCACTAATAGCAGGCTGGCTGCTTCTTGTTGACTTGTCAAGCATTTAATATGAAGAATTTGCCTAAGGAGAAAGAAATCACTGTACCACAGTGAATGCTAACCAAATTAGTTTATCAACTATTTTCACTACAGGATAATTAAGAAATGATGTGCTATATGGTTTTCCTCATTCCTCTGTTATAAGTGAATGGATGTTTATATTAAACATGACAAATCTTAACCAAAAGCCCAACATTAAGACTGCTCTAAGTGCTTGGTCGAAGAGTTGAACTTAATACAGTCATCTTAAGGACTCTGTCGGTGTGAGCACAGATGGCCGACACACCTGATGTTCAAGCCTTCTGTTTAAGAGGGCCAACCAATCAAACAATGGGGCAGTGGCCTTATAGTGAAGAGAGTTAAAGCAACTCAAGTAAAGACCAATATAAAAATAGGTCAAAATAAGTATACTGTATTCCTTATATATATATATATGGTTGAAAAATTATGATTACAGTTGCATGTTGTGGTTAAAACAGGTCAGGCTGTAATTTTATATGTTAACTATTTAATCATGACTTAGTATTACAAGAGTACAAGCACGCACTTATTTTCTTGAGGTTAGAAAAACCCACATGTATGCTGCTTCACCTTCACGCAATGCACGGTTTAACCTTTCATCGTTTGTTGTATTTATATCTCTACTCTTTCCTTTGCTCTGGAAATCAGAGAGAAGAGATTACAGGAAATCCCGTCTTTCAGGTGAGAAAGTGGGATTAAAAAGCAGGCTCAGAGTACAAGGTGTGAAAAATCCCCCTTTTCCTTCCGGATGCTCACAGTG